TTCTCTCTCTATTTATATACTTCTCATATAAACTTATACAAATATGTTTGCAGGTTCATTATTGTTACCCATTTCAAGAAACACACGCACGCACTACAAAGAAAGTCGAAAATTTTCCAGTTTTGAATTTTTATTTTGAGCGATTCTTGGTTGTTTTACGTATGTAATGCATCAGAAAAAATCTGAAGTTCAAATCGGAACAGAAAGCAGTGGCATCTCTTCCGATTTCAACCCCACCCCACCTTCTCTTACCCAAAAACACCCTGCTCTTTCGCAGAATTTCCGGCAAATTCTCCACCACCAGCCGCCGTTGAACAATAGCGCCGCCGCTACCTCCTCCACCACACTCCAAATTCTGATCGATAATGACAAACTTCAGGAGAAAAGTGGCCCGTTTAATAATATTCAGCAATTTTCAAAGTTTATTACTACAGCTTCGAGTTTATCTAATGCATTTCACGGATTTGGATTGTTTTCTGCTCAAAATTTGCCATCAAAATTTAGTCTTTTATTCGCCACATCTCAAAAATTCTTAGCCCATTTTCACCACCACCTCTGTAGCCTCCGCCTCCACCTTCGGCTTATCCTGCTATTTTCCTTACCCTTTTTGTACTTCCTCGTCTCTCAGCCTTCACACTCCTTCATTCTTGATTTCCTCTCCACATTCGCCTTCTCAGCCTCTCTTCTACTCTCCCTTAATTTAGCCATTCCTAGGCTCCCCACGATAAGGCTGTTCTTGGCAAGGTCATTCCCTATTATAATTAAGGGAAGAAACCAAATAAAAGGGCCTCATTTCCCTGTTTTTTGGTCAATTGGATCGTGCCAAAATGCCAATAAAAAGTCCATATCGGGGTGCTTTGTGCAGGCATATAGCAATGGAGATGTTTATGAGGGTGAGTTCCGTGAGGGGAAGTGGAGTGGAAGTGGAGTGTATTATTATTTCATGAGTGGGAGGTATGAGGGGGATTGGTTGGACGGAAAGTATGATGGATATGGGGTTGAGACGTGGGCGAGGGGCAGCTGGTATAGAGGGCAGTATAAGCAGGGTTTCAGGCATGGTTTCGGGGTGTTCAGGTTTTTCACAGGGGATGTTTATGCAGGGGAATGGTCTAATGGACAGAGCCATGGATGTGGCATTCATACTTGCGAGGATGGGAGTCGATATATGGGGGAATTTAAGCGGGGGGTTAAACATGGCCTTGGACAATACCATTACAGGTAGAACTGTTTAATTTTTGCTTGATGAGAATTTATCCAATTGTTAGTTTGATTATTTGAATTGGGAAATGCTAAAAGAATTCTTATCAATAGCTAATGTTGATTGTGTTTTGGACGTCAAATTTTAGTCCATGTTTTTTGTTGGTATCTAGCCTAGTTGTCGGAAGGTTATAGTATTGAGCCCTGTTTGACAACTGCACTTTTCAAATTTTTTTTTGCATACTCATTTTTAACCACATATTCATACAATAAAATATTATGTACGGAATCCCAAAACTTTTTCTTATTTTTTAACCATACATTCTCCTAAAAATACTATAAAAATACTATTCAAAACTCTTTTTTTTCCAAAATTATGGTTGTCAAACAGGGCTGAGTAAGATGATCCACGCGATCCATGATTCGAAAGTCATAGTTTATTGACAAAAATGATTATTCTCATGTGTTATGGTTTATTAATGGCTTTTTGTGCTTCCCCTTGAATGGCATAAAATTATCAATTCACTGTTAGTACTCAGGATTTTACCTTGTCACTTTTCCTGTGTTTGGTTAGCAAGATAGGTACTTTTAAGATATTTCCTATATTTCATATGTTTCGGATTTAGAATGTCCTGGGGTAGATTTTCTGTCAATTTACCTATGTATTCCCTGCTGTTCAGATGGTGCCTAAAATTCAACAACAAAAAAAAAAGATCACCTTAATTTATTGTGATTTGTCATATGTAATTGCATTTGTTATGGAACATTATAGTATTTGCTATGAGCATCTTGTCTTCAATTGATTGCTGTGTCTAGATAATCAAATTGTCTGTTATATTTGTACTATAGTTATTTGATTTCTAAAAGATGATTGTTTTTTGTCTACAGAAACGGGGATACATATGCTGGACAATATTTTGCTGACAAGATGCATGGATTTGGAATCTATAGGTTTGCAAATGGTCATATTTATGAGGGAGCTTGGCATGAAGGTCGAAGACAAGGTCTTGGAACGTACACTTTCAGTAATGGAGAAACTCGGTCTGGTCATTGGCAAGATGGGATTCTTGATGTTCCGAGCACGCAGAACAGCACTTATCCCGTATCTCCTGTTGGCATCTACCACTCCAAAGTGCTTAATGCAGTTCAGGTAAATTTTTTACACGTTTTCTGCAACTCCAACAGAGGTTTTTTTTTTGGCATGCTGGCCTCAAAATTATCTAGTTCTGCATGTTCCGGATTGTGTTTGGCCTAGACAGGCCAGGCACATTTTGACACCTGTACACCAACATTAGTTCTACAGAAGCCTATTATCATTTTTTTGTTCTCATCGGACACAATGGGAGTTGAAGATTGCAATGTCAATTGATGGTTATTTTTTCTTCCTTTTATATCGAGTTGATTGATTATGGTATTTCCAAGTTTTCTTGTTGGTTTTTGGGATCAATAGCCTGATAATATTTCGAGATTTTGAGCTCATTTAGCAGATTGTTTGTTTGGTTTTCTGGGATGACAATCTTGTATGCTTACCATATCATGCTTGTTACCCAGAATCTGTCTTTGTCATTTATTAAGGGCATAGGTCTTTACTCAGTAGTGTTGAAACTTTGTGTAATTGGCCTACCGCATTTTTCTTCCATTAGGTGCTGTTCTTCTTTGATTGTACTTTTACTGAAAGAAGTTCTGTATTGATGGGAGTGTAATCGACATCAGAAAATTTCAAAATTTTCGGTTCTCAGGTGTTAAGGTGCCTTGAATTTTTGTGAGGGAAAAACTCGAGTTAATCTGTCTGAGGAGTCATGTTGACATGATGTGCATCTTCTCTTAGTCTCTTGGGTTTCTTCCTCTCTCATTTCTGGGTGCTGGCATGATGAACAAAGGACTCGAAATATCTTCTATTCTATTCTTGATAGGACTCGAGGGAATTGTTCCCCAAAGAAGCAGAAGAGACGGACAGTTGGTCCAGTGTAAAAACTGGAGGGCTGGAACTTGGGATAATATAGCGATGGCTGTACTATCATATTAAATATTTCATTTTCAAGAGTAACGACCTTCAAAATATTTAGCTTTATTTGCAGAATTGTAGCGGTATAGAGAAACTAATTAATTTTTGTTTTGAACTCCAGAAAGCACGGTGGGCATCAGAGAAAGCTTGTGAGGTGACCAAGGTCGACAAAAGAGTCAACAGAGCAGTATCATCAGCTGACAGGGCAGCTAGTGCAGCTCGAGTAGCAGCAACAAAGTCTATGCAAAAGCAAATGCATTTTAAGAGAAACAGTGATGAGATTTCAATTTCTGTCCTGTGACGTTTAAGAATGAGATAGGTGTACTCTCCTCAAAGTAGAACCTGAAGTTTCAGGCAGCTCATCCTTGCTTCAACTAAGTAAATATGTTTTGGTTGAGAATTTTGTATATGTTAGCTAGGAAAAAGTTTTGTACTGGTGTTCAGGAAAACCTCAATCCAACCAGCATCCTATTTTCCAACAAGTGATGTACTAGTAGTACATAAAAAAAAAGAGAACTGTTGAAACATCATCATGCTCGTCTAAAAATTCCCCTGTATTCAGTTTTATGCGTCTGTCTGAGAGGCAATGACAATACATGAACTCAAACACATTAGTTCTCCATATAATAGTTTCAAAAGCTCGAGATATCAAATAGATATTCCAGACAATACATAAATTGCCTCTTATCCGACAAAAATCTGAATCTAAAGTTGCATAATAAAAATGAAGTAGAGCAGCACACAAATGCGGAAATCTAGCACAAAAATTAACTCTCAGTCTGCTCCCTCAGCCTCCGGATTGTGCTCCTGACAGTCACGGCACTAGCAGTGCTGCAAAAATAGGGCATGTCAATTTTTCATTATACGAATGCAGAATAGAAAAAAGCAGAGGTGTTGAGAACAATTACTTCAATGTGTAAGCACCGCCAGCCTTGACTTTGCCACAGTCCTTGCACCCCCAGATGCCAACTGCCTTTCTCTTAACGGCATACTGCAAAAGTTACAGTACGATTTATACAACACTCATATTGAACATTGACAGAACTATATCATATGGAACCTAAGTAGAAGAAGCATACCTTCCCACAGAACTCACAAAAATACTTGCTGTGTTGACTGACTTTAAGAAGCATACCTTCCCACAGAACTCACAATTATACTTGCTGTGTAGACTGACTTCCATCTTCTTAATCTTCTTCCTCAAACTAGCACCATAACGAGTGCCTGAAAGATTAAGAGAAAAAACAGAAAATTATTACAAAGGCATGTTTGGCAATTAAGGAAAATACAAGTTCAACTACAAATAAACCTAAATTTGATTCACCGCAAAAAGCAATTAGCCACTTAATTACTTGTTCATACATTATCTTTTTGTAAGTCACAACTTCCTATTAAGTGATCCTCTCATCAGCTGGCAAAGAATATCATATCCTGCTAGTTGTTTCATTTCAATAAGCAAACATGACGCCCACCAAATGTTTATTCCTCTCTATCCCCAAAGCTACGAGCTACTTTCATAAATAAAATACTTTTCACGGAAGAAAGAAATTAAGAACGAGAAAACAGGCACTTGTAAAAAAATAACATTCGCGATGGCACGTACCATATTTCCCAACAATGCCTACCTTCTTGGTTCTCTTGGCCTACACATATCAAAGGGTGATGGTTAAAATCACAATCATGTAGAATATATACTAAATTCCAATCCATAGGACCAAAAAATTATTTCTCCTACAAACTGAAAAAGTAGAGCACGTAATAAAATTTCATCATGTAACAGCGTTAATAAAAAGTTCATAAATCAGCTGATTTACTGGTGAACTACTGAAATACAATAATGCGCAAAAAAGTAGAAAACACAAATCTGGTGGCAAAATCATTTTCTTTATTGAGTTACTAAATAGCATTACCTATAGAAATGCAAACCAAGACAAAAATGAAAGGATTATTTTATGCGCAACTTATTCGCATCCGTGTTCTTATTATTTCCAATTATCTGCTGATAAATAAAAAATATTACCTTTCTCGTATACATAGATTCAAAGTCTCCAAATTAATCAAGCATTAAACTTCGTAAATAACGTATAGAAATTTCAATAACGATAATAAAATTACTATAATAAACAGTCCTCGATGGAAGAAATATAATCAACAAATTGAACAAAAAATATTCATATATTGATAAATTCAAATCGAAATCGTTTTACACATCCCAAACACACTCAAAAACATATAACAAGTATCCACAAAATCAAAACAAGAAAAATTGCTCGAATGAAGTTCTCTAATATTGCATACGTCTAGAGGAAGAGAGTACCATTGCAAACGTGAGAGAGGAAAGCACTGAGGGCTGACGGTTGATCAACGGCAATTAAACCAGGATTCAGGTCCAAGCAGAATCGTTGCAATTTATAGTCTGCCGTGAGCACGAAATGGATTAGCTTTATGTGTGCCCTAAAGCTTCAAGCCCATGAATTGGTTTTCTTGGGGGCCCATAAATATTAAAATTATAAGGCCCATTAACCTTTCTGTGTCACTAAGGAAAGGTCAATTGAGAAAGTAATTTATTTTTTAAAGATTTTTTAGGATAACTTAGCGACGAATTAACTAATATTAAAATTAAATATTTTCAGCAGACAACAAAATACAAATAAATACAGTTCCATAATAGTGGTGCGTTACGGCGGCTCGTCGAACTGTGAGCGGCCAGACTAATGCGTGCGAGAAGAAGTCTATTCAAATTTCCGAATCCTAAGACACCTCGTACTTCTCCTTATTATTACAAATTAAATTAATATTTGAAAATACATTAATTCACAAACAAATATATTAATTACTAAATATTTATATATACACATATACATAAACATTACAAGCACTTTCTCCTTCTCTCTCTCTCTCTCAATTTATCTTTCTTACAGAATCAAAACACGCACAGCGCATGTTCTGTGTTTCATCTTCTCCTCTGTTCCTCTCTGTGTTCATAGTTCCCGCCATTGGTTTACTTCCATTAAAACCCTGATTTCGATAAAGGTACTGTTTAATTTTTTTATTTTCAAGTTTTTCTCTGATTATATGTGAATTTTTTTTTTTATATGTGGGTTTCTTAATTTGATCTGTTTTTTGTAGGGATAGTAATTGAATTTAAATTATCGGATAAAGTTTTTTTTTTTTTTTTTTTCAAAAGGTGAGAATTTATGTCCAACAATCAATCAAGGGGTGATAGGACCGAGTCTGGACAGTACAGGAAACCCGCCCGATCCAGTAGTTTCCATCAGCAGCGCCATTTCTCCGGCGCCGTTAAGGGTGGTGGTGGAGGCGGAGGCTCCTCCTCCGCTACTACCGCTAATCCCTCTATCCCCGACCGCAGGTACATATGTATGCGCGTGCGTATATTTTGTCGAATTTGTCTTGCACAATATATATGTTCACCTGCACACGTGCATGGGTGTATGGATGGATGTACTTGCAAATGAGTGCTTTGTTTTGTTTGTACATGGAAACTAGGGTTTGTGTTTTTGGATTATGTTTCACTTGGATTGTTAATTATTTTTGGGCGTGCAGTCTTAAGAAGTCGAATAGCAATGTACAAGGGGGGCAATATAGGGTGCGCAGTCCGAATGTGAACCAGGATTCCAGTCATTCATTCCAAGCGCCTGTTGTACAGAATGGTGCTAGCAATGTACAAGGGGGGCAATATAGGGTGCGCAGTCCGAATGTGAACCAGGATTCCAGTCATTCATTCCAAGCGCCTGTTGTACAGAATGGTGCTAGCAATGTACAAGGGGGGCAATATAGGGTGCGCAGTCCGAATGTGAACCAGGATTCCAGTCATTCATTCCAAGCGCCTGTTGTACAGAATGGTGCTAGCAATGTACAAGGGGGGCAATATAGGGTGCGCAGTCCGAATGTGAACCAGGATTCCAGTCATTCATTCCAAGCGCCTGTTGTACAGAATGGTGCTAGCAATGTACAAGGGGGGCAATATAGGGTGCGCAGTCCGAATGTGAACCAGGATTCCAGTCATTCATTCCAAGCGCCTGTTGTACAGAATGGTGCTAGCAATGTACAAGGGGGGCAATATAGGGTGCGCAGTCCGAATGTGAACCAGGATTCCAGTCATTCATTCCAAGCGCCTGTTGTACAGAATGGTGCTAGCAATGTACAAGGGGGGCAATATAGGGTGCGCAGTCCGAATGTGAACCAGGATTCCAGTCATTCATTCCAAGCGCCTGTTGTACAGAATGGTGCTAGCAATGTACAAGGGGGGCAATATAGGGTGCGCAGTCCGAATGTGAACCAGGATTCCAGTCATTCATTCCAAGCGCCTGTTGTACAGAATGGTGCTAGCAATGTACAAGGGGGGCAATATAGGGTGCGCAGTCCGAATGTGAACCAGGATTCCAGTCATTCATTCCAAGCGCCTGTTGTACAGAATGGTGCTAGCAATGTACAAGGGGGGCAATATAGGGTGCGCAGTCCGAATGTGAACCAGGAGTCCAGTCATTCATTCCAAGCGCCTGTTGTACAGAATGGTGCTAGCAATGTACAAGGGGGGCAATATAGGGTGCGCAGTCCGAATGTGTCGAGTCATTCATTCCAAGCGCCTGTTGTACAGAATGGTGCTAGCAATGTACAAGGGGGGCAATATAGGGTGCGCAGTCCGAATGTGAACCAGGAGTCAAGTCATTCATTCCAAGCGCCTGTTGTACAGAATGGTGCTCAACGACATCAGCCACCACCTGGTATGATGAGAGTGCTAGTGATGTTCAGATGAGATCAGTCTATTTATTTGTAGTATTAAAATATGAAAATTGCATAAGGGGGCTAAATTTTATGATGGGATTTTCTAGCTTGGCTGTGGTTGTGAGTTATTTGTTTGATCATAGTTATGCCATTTTTCCTTTATTTCCATTTTTTAGGATTCTACGTTTGTTAATTTTAGTAGCTGTTATTTTAGGAGTGTCTGATGCATTAGTTACAAGTAAGAGTGTTTCCCCGATCGACACTCCAACTCAAAGAATCACCCAAGCTGTTCCAAGATCTCCGTCTTCTAATGTTTCTATTGCAGCTCCATCTACCAGTGCTTCTACTGCTAGCTCTGATACCAACACCTCTGCAGCACCTGCAAAGGGTATGGCTACCGGTACTTGATGTGCATTTGAAGTTATATATAAGCATTTTGGTTTTATTTGAATATTAGAATAGTTAGTCTCTTTTATGATATATTATCATCAATTCCTCTAGTCTTTATTTTCTGTAAGTGTAATTATTTGCTTCTATGGTTTTTGGATTCCTTAGCTCCAGTAGATGCTTCCAGCTCATTTTCTCTACAGTTTGGGTCTATAAGTCCTGGACATATGAACGGAATGCAGGTACTGTCAATTGTATGAAATCCAATATGCTTTTTGTTTCTGCTTATAAATTTGTGTCGCAGTTTCTTTACTTTTATTTTTAACGATACCACATGTGTTGTCCCCTCGTGTTTGTAGATTCCTGCTAGAACAAGCTCTGCCCCACCAAATTTGGATGAGCAAAAAAAAGATCAGGTCTGTGGTGTTTCTCCTCTGTCCAGGTGTTCAACTGATAATAGATATGTGTTCCTCTAGTATGAGAGTAAGATTAAAATACTAAAAAAAGGTACCTTTTACTAGATACAATGGAAAGTCGCTGCTCTAAATCTCTAAGCGGTTGTCTCATTGGTCTTGTTGTGTGCCATTTTCAGAAACTTATGTTTTTAGAGTTACCATTTTACTCACATGTTTATACATTCAAATACATGAGTATATATTACCTCCATAAAATTTGCATGAACACACTATAGATATTTTGTTTAGAACTACCACAAAATTATCTTTCAACAGTCAATATGTAGTTGATATGAGCTGTTTCAAAGATAGTTTTGTTGCTCAAGTTGCTCACTATGATGCTAACCTTCCATGTTATTTTTTTCAACAGGCCTGTTACGACTCTTTAAAAGCTGCACCTGCAGTGCCAACGCCATCCATTCCCAAACAGCGACTGCCGATAAAAGACACAAGGGTCCTTGATCAACCCAAAACTGGTGAAGCTCAGCCAGTATCCAAGTCCAAAAGGGATTTGCAAGTTTCAGCTGCACCTCCCACAACTCAAACTCAAAAACCGTCTGTACAGCCTATGTCTGGGATGTCCATGCAAATGCAATTTCACCAGTCACAGGTTCCAGCTCAATTTGGTGTCTCTAATCCCCAAATTCAGTCGCAGGCCGTGCCAACCTCTTCTTTGCCAATCCCAATACCAATGGGGATGTCTATTCCTTTACCCATGGGAAATCCACCAATGTTTATTGCAGGTCTTCAACCACCACATGCAATGCAGTCTCAACGATTGATGCATCAGGGTCAAAACTTGAACTACTCATCGCAAATGGGTCCTCAGATTCCCCCTCAGTTGGGTAGCATGGGAATTAATATGACCCCACAATTTCCCCCACAACAGGCTGCCAAGTTCACGGCTTCTCGTAAATCAGTAAAAATTACTCATCCTGAAACCCATGAAGAATTGAGACTCGATGGGTCATTAGGTCCGAGCTCACACCCTAATGTGCCACCTCCTTCACAGCCTATTACATCATTTCCTACTAATCATCTGATGAGCTATTATTCTAATTCTTATAATTCTGGTTCCCTCTTTTTTACACCTTCAAGTTCTGTTCCACTGAACAGTGCCCAGGTTCTTCCGAGTTCTCAGCCACCGAGGTTTTATAATCAGGTCTGCCCTTCCTGAAGATTGCAACTGGTCTTACATAACTTCTGTTTATAAAACCTGTAGACATTTGCACGATATTGCAGTCATCAAGTATGGAGAGGACGATAAATTATTTAATAATCTATTTGCCTCGATTATTTCGATGCAGGCAACCGTGAAACCAGCTGCTGGCTCTCATGTGGATAAAGGCATATTGCCATCTAGTGCGAAGGGAGAATCTATGAAACCTGTAAGGCCACATGGAGAAGATTCGCGTCGGCCTCAAAAGGATTTTGAACCTTCATCTTCAAGCTATTTGCAGATGTCAAAGCCCAGTGTTGAACCATCATGTACTGTGTCCACGACAAGTAAACAGTCTGCTACTGTGTTAGGTTCTGTTAATGTGGAGACTGAAGGGCCCAAAACTTTGTCTTCTGCTTCTCAAGCTCTTGTTGATGATATTGCATCTTCACAATCAAGTGGTGCTGGAAAAGCTAGAGATAGAACAGTTGATGGACCTGACTCCATTGCCGATGATCAGAAAAAACCGAGCAACAGAGTACAGTGGGATCAGGTATTTTATTGGTTGTTTGGTGTCCAATTGTATTATATATAGTACCAGCTTTACCATGATTGGTGAGTTGCGCATCATCTTCGCAGGTTTGTTCGCAATCTCCATCTGCTTCAGGTTTGTCCTCTCAATTCCCAGTACCTGAAACTTTGGAAGCTAAAACAAGTATTTTGTCACGAACTAGTGTGATGTTGGAAACTGCAAAAGAGTCATCATTAATAACTACAGCTACTGCTTCAGAGGCTTATGATTCAAAAGGTGGAGTTGCTGAAGGCAAGACAAGTCAGTCATCAAATATTCTGGACACGAATAATGTGAAAAACATGCCATCAAACACTGAAACGTTGGGAAAAAGGGACAAAGGAGAAGTAATCTTGTCCGAGAGTTCCAAACCACATAACAGTAGCCCAGAGACATCTTCAAAATCTATTTCTCCAGAATCTTCTGAAATCACTTCCAATCATGAAGAGAGCTCTTCTCAGGAGGTACCGGCCTTCAGCAGGGGCGGTAGTTTATTGGAAACTGCACAGCAAAAGTTGGAAGAATATACTAGTTGCTCTGAAGATGTTAGTGTGGTGGATGATTTAATTGCATCTACTTCCATGCTGGATGGTGGAAGTGCAAATGGTGCATCTGCTGGGGATGATAAGACCTCAGCTTCAGACGCTCCTTTAAGTGTGCCTGATAGTGTAAATAGTAAAGAAGCTTCTGTTTTGAACTCTGCTATTGTAGACCAAGATTCCCACCCTGTTTCAATTCCATCTCCTTCTGACAGTGTTTCAGAAAGTGAAAATGAAGGTATTGAGAACAATAGTGTTGGATTCGCTTCTCCACCACCTTCTGGCGTCAAAGAAAAAGTTATGTTAGAGCCAAATGTGGTAAAAAGTATCACGCCTAGGGGGACGAAGAATAAAGAGGAATTATATCGAAAACCAGAAGCTGCTGGTACAAGTTCTGATCTTTATATGGCATATAAGGGTCCAGAAGAAAAGAAAGAAACTGATGCCCCAGCACAAAGCACAGAGAACACTCTGAGCAATACTACTGATGTGACTCAGGATATTGACGTATCAAGTCTTAAAACTGGTCAGAGTAAAGTGGAGCCAGAAGATTGGGAAGATGCTGTTGACATCTCTACTCCAAAGTTAACCATGAAAAATGATCAGCAGGTTAATGATCGCGATCGCGATGGATTAATGACTAAAAAGTATTCCCGAGATTTCCTCCTCAAATTTGCTAAGCAATATACTGATCTTCCCGAGGATTTTGAGATCCCCCCAAATATGGCTGGTGCCTTGATGGTCTCTAGTATCAATATTTCACGTGAATCATACCCAAGTCCTGGAAAAAAATTTGACAGGCCTATTGGGGGGTCCAGACCAGATTATCATGGAAGCGTCATGGGTGATAAGGACAAATGGAGCAAACTACCTGTGCCTCTAATGTCAGGGAAGGTAGATATGCGGATGGATATTGGTTATGGGGGCAACATGGGATTTCGGCCTGGCCAAGGAGGTAATTTTGGTGTTCTAGTGAACCCTCGTGCACAGACACCTGGGGGAATCCTTGCTGGACCAATGCAGTCCTTGGGACCACAGGGAGCTCTGCAAAGGAATAACTCCGATTCTGACAGATGGCATCGTGGAACTGCCTTTCAGAAGGGTTTAATGCCTTCTCCTCAGACACCGTTACAGATGATGCACAAAGCTGAGAAGAAATATGAAATAGGTAAAATTTCGGATGAGGAAGAAATCAAGCAGCGGCAGTTGAAAGCCATCTTAAACAAGCTTACTCCTCAAAACTTTGAAAAATTGTTCGAGCAAGTGAAGCAAGTCAACATTGATAATGTTGTAACTCTCAATGGGGTGATCTCTCAAATATTTGATAAAGCTTTGATGGAACCCACATTCTGCGAGATGTATGCTAACTTCTGCTTTCATCTAGCTGTGGGGTTGCCTGATTTGAGCGTAGAAAATGAAAGAATTAATTTTAAGAGATTACTTCTGAACAAATGTCAAGAAGAATTTGAGAGAGGAGAAAAGGAAGAAGAAGAGGCAAATAAAGCTGATGTGGAAGGTGAAGCTAAACAATCGGAAGATGAAAGAGAGGAGAAGAGGATCCGAGCACGGAGACGCATGTTAGGCAATATAAGACTAATTGGAGAACTGTACAAGAAGAAAATGCTGACAGAGAGAATAATGCATGAGTGCTTAAAGAAGTTGTTGGGCCAGCATCAGGATCCTGACGAGGAAAATATTGAAGCCTTGTGCAAATTAATGAGCACGATTGGTGAGATGATAGATCATCCCAGAGCCAAGGAGCACATGGATGCCTATTTTGAAATTATGGCGCAGTTGTCAAACAACATGAAACTATCTTCTAGGGTGAGGTTCATGCTGAAAGACTCAATTGATCTGAGAAAGAATAAGTGGCAACAGAGGAGGAAAGTTGAAGGGCCAAAGAAGATTGATGAAGTGCACAGAGATGCTGCTCAAGAACGTCAGGCACAAACTAGTAGGCTAGCTCGTGCTCCCAACATTGGGTCTTCTGGTAGAAGAGGTCCACCTCTGGATTTTGCTCCTAGAGCTCCCAATATGTCATCTTCTCCTAGTTCCCAGATGGGTGGTTTCCGTGCTGTACCCCTACAGCTTCGTGGCTATGGTTCTCAGGATTTTCGATCGGAGGAGAGACATCACTTTGAGAACAGAACGACTGTTTCTCTGCCTCAAAGGCCCCTCAGCAATGATTCCATAACCCTGGGGCCCCAAGGTGGTCTTGCAAGGGGAATGGCTTTCAGAGGGCAGCCATCAGCACCTGGCCTTCCTTTGGTTGAGATGTCAAGTCCCGGAGATGCGCGCAGGATAGAACCTGGGCTAAATGGATTTAGTTCTATGCCAGAACGGACAGTTTATGGTCAAAGAGACGATCTCAGGCCGAGATATATGCCAGAAAGGTTTTCTATTCCATCTGTTTATAACCAATCAAATCCACAAGAGCAAAGTAATAACCATGGGAATAGAGATATTAGAAATGCTGATCACTTCTTCGATAGATCTCTACCTACTTCTCCCTCTACACAAGATTGGCCCCCAACTTCTATGCAAGATGCTTCATCAGAAAAGATGTGGCCAGAAGAGCGCTTGAAATACAAGTCGTTGTCCACAATTAAAGAATTTTACAGGTATCATCTTATATCATACACTGTGTTTCTTATCTGTCCGTTAACTTTTGATTTCTACATTACCTCTCACAACTAGCATTTGACTATGTTTCTCGTATATTGTTAATGTGCATGTTAGGAAAAGTTATATGAAGCTCAGTCACAAGGCTTTTCAATTCTAATTATTGACCAAAAGACCAAAAGAAATCTTGTCACATGTTTATTCAAATATGTAGACCTAGTACAAACCCATAGGTAGGAAATGGAGTCACTTGGTGACCATTGATGATACATCCAGCAAAGCTACTGGGGTTGAGGATATGAATGATATTAGATTATGCTATTTATAGGTGTTATACATAGATGATGCTGTTGTTTACAGTAAATTTTGGTTGAAGTTTGAGAGCAGGATCACAATAGGATTACTGTTTTGTAACAGTAAGCTGGCACTTCGTTTGGTGTTCGTGGTACTGTAGTTAAATTACTTATCATTCATTCTTTTATATTATGATGAGATGGAAATCCTATTTAGCTGTCTGATATCATAAACTAGGATGATCTCGCTCATCCATTTTTGCTTGTAAAGAATATAAATTAATTGTCCACCAAGAGTTGATTATTGTATCACGACAATCAGAAGGGTGGATATTTTAGAAGTGTCTTTGTAGGGCTATGCAGAGAGCCTGGAACCAGTAAACTAGCCAGCCAATAAGTATGGTTCACGTTTAATCTTCAGTTTTTTTCCCACAGTTAATACTTGGTACCTTCTAGCCCCAAAGAGACAGAAGCCAAAATAGAATGAAAAACACTAAGCAGTTGGCTCATTGTCGAGTGAAAAATTCCCCAACAAATTAAAAGCATGTTTGGGAAGTGTTTATAAACTGTTTAAATCATAAATATATAAAATATTCATAAAAAATGAGTGGCAGATAAGTGGGTAGTACTTACGTATCCCTTGAAATGTGTGGATAAAAAATGATTTTGAGTGTTTATAAATAATTTGTAAATATGAGCCAAGCAAAAGCTTAAATACTATTTTCTTTCTTTGAACTTTTGCATGTTGTGAATGGAATTGCTGCTGTCATTCAAGGTTAGTTGTCACCAGCTCTTGCAATTTCTGTCAAAAAGCTCTGATTTCATGATTATTAATTCTGAGTTGGTAAAGTGTGATTTTTTTAATTTTCTTTTTTCAATATCATAAAGTCTTCACCACTTCACCTGTTTGGTGTTTATTTGTATCAAAATTGAGGCAAAGCATCTGTTTCTGTAAAATTAAAAGTTACCTTTTCTTTTTAGTCCAAGTCAAATATTAATTTCAGAACACACATTTACAACTCCTACCCATTTATTAACTACTGTTTTCCTGGGACTCAATACTATTCTTCCTAAAAAGTAACTAATAATTTTACCCGAACACTGCTAAATATACCAATATGGCCTTGGTAACTTAAGTAGGCCTATGGAGGATCAAATTCAATGACAAATGCAAGTCTGCTGGAGAAGCAGGAAAGACAAACAAATAGGGATTTTCATAGGGGTAATCCTTTGTGCATGTAAAAAAAATCTATAAATAAAGTACATATGGTTGGGTCTTGGAACCATGAGGTTGGTCTGAATCTTAATTTTGGTTGGCTCTGGGTCGGTGTTCTGAACTTGGTTTTTTGTGTTGCATTTCAATGTGATAAATCTTGGCTGGAACTGAAAGTTATGTTGCATTTTTATATAGGAACTCAGGCACAAAATTTGTTTTCTGGACTAGGATTCATTTTGTTGAATTAGTTATCACATGGGAAGATGACGTTATATCTCACTTAACATTGAATTCTTCAACATATATATATATATATGTTGCCCGTACTAGTTACACAATTGTACTCTCTTCAACTTAAATTTGTAGGGTGTTTAAGGATTTTGACCACGGTTTTTATCAGGATAACTTATGAATCCCCCTAGTTACACAATTGTACTCTCTTCAACTTAAATTTGTAGGGTGTTTAAGGATTTTGACCATGGTTTTTATCAGGATAACTTATGAATCCCCCTTTTTATCAGGGTAACTTGTGGATAATTTCTGTCTAATTTTTTTTGCCCTTTCCAAAAACCATTCTTGGGGTTCTGTTATCGTTTTTTTGTGATGCTGTCAAAAGTTCTCGACAGCAGTAGTTTTGTAAAAAGTAATTGGGAGAACATGCTCTAGTTTGAACCAAAATTTGCAAAAATTTTGTCTGCTGAAATTTTTCACATATTTCATATTTTGGAGAGGGGTCGAATACTATGGTTTTGCTAGTTTGATATATTATGCCATATGCTCTGCTTTGTGAATAGGTATTCCATTATGATGTCTCTCTAGCGGGGCTCTAAACTTTTGATGGGGGTTCCTATCATAACCCTGGTTGTTCAATAACAGGTTGTCCTTAGAAATTATTATGAATTTTATTACATAAGATGGGGTGACAACTTTAATCTTGCTTTACAAAGTGAGATTTGGAGCTGATTGCAAGTTCTCATGTCCTGTTCCTTAAGATTAAGAGCTTGTGGTTCTCCCTCTTTCCATTTTTTAGTCTTTTTCTGTTTGCTTTTTAAGCATGTCAGTGGAAATGTGCTGCTTTTTGCCTCACATGGCTTGAGGTGAGATGAGTTCATGTTTATCTAGTCATGCGAATTGTGGCTAAAGCTTGAGGTACAATTAGTAAGTGTATCAAATTATATTAGCCAAGGGCTTTTGGTGTGCAAGGTTATTAGGATATGTGCATTCGTTTATATGGTTTGTTAACCTACCCCAGAAAATTCATCTATTATGTATTTATGTGTCATACCAATTTCTTTCCGTCTACCTATTGAGCACAGACTCTGCTTCTGCTTCTCCATCCCAAGTCCCACCTCTCTCCATCTTCTTCAGTCATCATCCTGCTGAACGCCATCGCTGCAAGTAAACATGTCTTTGCATCAGTTTCTAACGAGCGCCTCCCTGTTGTCTTAAAGCTTCAATCAATGCTGCCGGGATCTAGCCTAGACCATAATAACACCATTAGTTACCATTTTGATACAAAATTATAAACCTAATTAATCAATTGGGCAATCACCTGGCTTAACCTCCTACCCAGTTAGCTACCATAATCTAGGGCAAATTTGTATTCCAAAATTTTCTACTTTTAAGGCCTTACAAGGTACTCCATATTCATCAATAACTACTTCATACAGTACCATTATTTACATAGTTATCAAAATCCCAACTAATAATTTGTTCTGGATCTTGGCAATGAGGTCAATGGAAAACAATTGAAGTTTAGCTTCCTTTTTTTTTTTAAACTCTGTTCTTTTTGTACTTATATCCATGTCTTGTAGTCAAAGTGTGTGCAAGGGCTTGCAGGTGGGCCTTATAGTAGCAGGGACTTCTTTTTCTTTCTAGGTCATAGAAGGGGCCAGTGCGAAAGATGGCTATTCCTCAGGCAAGGAGCGCTTCCTCTAGAGAATATGGAATATGTCTGAATTTCCTATAATCAAGGATATAATAAAGTATGGGTGTTGCTTTTGTGGAGATTTGGTGATAATGAATGATGAGATTTAGGGTTTTGATGATGGGAATCCTGTGGTAGCGCTGGAACCATACCTTTAAAGTGGGGATGGATTACTTTTCAATCATTTCTGGCTTTAGTCAAGTTAAGTTTACTTATGTACCATCACTTTCGCCCTTGGTTTTATGGTATGAATGCAATCCTCGTCATACGAAAGTGGACACTTTGTTTAACTTCTTTTTTGGGGGCAAATTAACTAGATCATATAGGCGTGTGTATTTAGCTGTCAGTTTATGCGAATGGATTACTTTTGTGGGAAACTATTGTTGAGGATCGGTATGTAGGGGCTGGCTATTGCTCTCAGGACTTCGAGCTTGGTGAAGTTAGCATTAGCAGTTATTGTACAAGACTTGTTGACTGTTTTGTTTTAATTTCAAAATTACTCGAATATGTTCAATATTGTTGTTACAAAATATTCATTCCTCTGAGCCTTCTTGCCAAAAAATTAATTTGTTGCTCTTTACATTTGGTCAACACTAGAACCCTTTTTTCTACGTATTTTTATGAAGATGAAAATTGAAAATCTGTCTTTTCAGCGCGAGAGATGAGAATGAAGTTGCTTTGTGCATCAAGGAATTGAATGCTCCCAGCTTCTATCCATCAATGATTTCTATCTGGGTTGCTGATTCTTTTGAGAGGAAGGACACGGAGAGAGATCTGTTGACGAAGCTCCTGATTGGTCTTATGAAAACTCGAGATGGCATGATAAGTAAAGATCAGCTCATCAAAGGGTATGCCTTCTCTGATTGTCACGAGGTGGAAACTTAATTCGCACCTTTAATTAATTCCCAGGTTTCACTTTTGTTCCTTTCTATCTGCACTTGGGCAGGTTTGAAGATGTTCTCGCTACATTAGAGGATGCTGTAAACGATGCCCCCAAAGCAGCAGAGTTTCTTGGCCGCATCTTTGCCAAAGTCATAATGGAGAACGTCATTTCATTATCTGAAGTTGGGCAGTTGATCTTTGAAGGCGGGGAAGAGCAAGGACGTCTGGTTGTAATAGGTCTTGCAGCCGAAGTCCTTGGGATTATCTTGGAGACAATTAAATCAGAAAAGGGTGATTCCCTATTGACTGAGATCTGTTCAAGCTCAAATCTGCGGCTCGAAAACTTTAGGCCTCCTCCAGGTTCTAACAAATCTTGGAGACTAGATAAGTTTACTTAGCATAGTAATAATGCTCATTGTATCTGGTAGAAGAAATTCATGACTAGTTTTTTAGGTCACCGTTTATATTTTGCAGATATATGTTTCGTTCTGGGTAAATGGAAATTCATATAGGGGGTTATTTTGATGTTTCTATATTATTAATATTATTTGGAAAATTAATTGCAACTGCTAAATGTTCAATTGAGCATTATCTCATCTCTTTACTTTTCTCAAGTTGTCGATTCCTTGTGTTTCGGTGGGGGAGGCAGACTCTGAAGTTCGATAACTAAGTGTACTTTACATAGATATAATACAGTTGAGATCTGAAGAACTCTCTAATTGCTCGCTATGGTCCTCCAAGGCCACAGAAACTCCGTACTTTTTGGCTGCAGAAAATGTTAACTAGTATGAACTTCCGCTGAATTTTTGTGCGGATTTTTAGAAATCGCGAACTCTATGATGTTACATTTCCATTCCTTTCCTTTCCCCAACCCAGTTTACATACATACATACTGTGACACTTGGAAGTTGGAATGCTTCTACTGTCTGTGTGCGCGCGCGGTTTAAGTTAAGTTGTAGCTGGCTTGTTCTCTTCATATTTTCTGAATTATTTACCCAGGTGAGATGCATACTGGCAATATTGTGCCTGAAGTATGTTTTCCTCAATTATTGGTTTGTCTATAAATGATTTGTATTAATTATTCGTATAATTTAGGAATGGTTTGTAAAAATACATTTATGAAATCAAATATTAAATTCTGTTTCAATCTATAACTTTTCTAATCATTTTCGTTGAGACAGTTCTGTTTCAAACCTTGCTGAACTTGGCATTGCTCTATTAAAGACTTGATTTTTCACTCAAGTGAGAAATATTGCTATAAATTATCGTTGTGTTCGTGGGGTAATAAAAATAATATACTAAGGCCCTGTTTGATTGCACCAATTCCATGGGAGATGGAAATTAAATTCTATTTTCCACATTTTTGCATATTTGATTGCCCAAAATTTCTTTGGGATTGGTTTGCCATCTTTCACTCACGTGTTCACATTTTCTTGATTTTTGGGTGAGAAAAGATTTCTAGGCAACTTTTTTATTTTTATTTTGGCAATTGAAATAAATTGTATTCCCAATTGTGACAAATTATATTCTTTTAATGGATAATTTTGATGGAAAATAAAGCTAAACGAACAACAAAAGATTCAAAATTTCAATATTTTTCAGGTGGAAAATTATATCAATGAACACAATTAATTGACAATTTTCAATAAAATAAGTTTTAGACAATTCAATTTCATGAAATTCATTTTCTTTTCACCCAAATTTTATTTTTGCAATCAAACGGTCCCTAAAAGATTTTTCCTATCATGCCATTTTTGTTGGTTATGTCGACAATTTTGTTAGCCGATGTTTGATATTCATTATTTGGTAAAAATAAAGTTGAATGGAGAATTTTGGAGAACATATGGTTAAAAAATGAGGAAAAATTTTAGATTTACGTGCTAAATATTTTATTGTGTAAACGTGTGGTTGAAAATAAGTATGTAGAACAAAGCATTTTGAAATAATGATCTTTAAGCATGGGCTTAATTTGGCATGCTTATGTAGCCATCCACACATGCTTAAACTAAAAGGGTGTTTGATAGAGATTAAAATCGAATTAAAATTGAAAAACTAGTCGTTATTGTTGACTTTTATTAGATGAGTATGACCCAATAACGGCTATATTTTCAATTTTAATTGGATTTTGAACCGTACCAAACATGCCCTAAATTTAAAAAGAAATAAGTTCTTTTGAGGCAAAATAAATCCTTATTTAATAGTTTAGAACAAAATAAAAATTAGCAATCAAAATAATCAAATGGAGACACTCTTTTTAACCTAATGTAGCGATTTGGTGAGCCGTGTTGGTTTGAACCGGTCAGAATTGAAAAGTGGAAACCCATTCCCCTTGGCCGGTTCACACACCCTTCTTGTAAAATACCCTGTATGTCCGCCATTTCAGACTAATTTACAGTGCAGTTATTCCCCCAGGCCCCCATTCTCCCACCGTCCAGAAAGAGACTCACAATGCATTATCAGGCCTAAACGGAGAGAAATGGCCGGTACACTGAGATCCAGTATTCTGCGCCACATTCAGGTCCCTGTATCTCGGACCCTAACCCCAAATGGATCCAAAGTGGCCGCCGTCCGATCAATGTCATCGCACGGCGACGATCATCTCGACAAACAAGAGGTCATCGACCGAGTCCTCGACGTCGTCAAGAGCTTCCCCAAAGTCAATCCCTCTAAGGTTAATTTTGTCATTTAATTTCCCCCCTGTCTTATTTGCTTTTACTTATCCTTTCTGTATTTTTGTATAATTATGTATATACATCTGTTCTCTATTGCCTTTTTCTTTCTCTGTTTGTAAATGCTGTTGGCTTTGATATTAATGGCTTAAATATAAGAAGATAAGGAAAAGAGTTAATTTTTCTTTCGAATTTACAGCTACAAGGTAGAGTGATGGTATGAGGCAAACATTAGAACTTGGGAAATTTTGAAGCCTCGCTAATAAGGTTGAAAAAAAGAAAAAGAGAGAAGATGAAGAAGCTTTGTTTGTGGGCAGTTGCTGATCATTTGATTGAACTGAAATTTGGAATGGGTACACTGTGAATCATTTAAAAAATAAACATTTTTGTTTGGATCTTGTGAAGTTTGTCAAGAAAAAGAAAGACTGTTACCCACAAAATATCAATTAGCCTTACCAAAAAATACTTATTCAACCAATTCGAACTCTTACATGACCAACTTGATCTCCACCTACCCATATCTTGTGAGAACTACTGTGATAAATAGAACGGCTTACAAAAAATCATCTTAACATACTGAACAGAACATCGCGTCATTAAATATATAATTTCTGATAGCAAGTCTTCAGGTAAACCATAAATCTATAAAATGCTTGGTTTAGTTAATCAGAAAATAGCCAGCTTGTTAATTTAGACATAAGGTCATTGTTATTTTTTGTCCGCTTGCCGTAAACATTTCGTTATCCTTATTCTCCTTCCAATAAAATCATAAACAGGTTAAATTTTTACAATTTCAATTACAAGATACCAAACCTTTCGTTAACTGAGTTTTAGAGGTTTATCCTGTTATTCATGCTTGTTATATAGGTTAACTGGAATGAATTTAAATGGCTTATACAGGATGACTAGGTTTTTAGCGTGACTTCACTTTTTTAGAAATGTTTTAGACATATTATCCTGATTATTACTTCTTGTAAAGACCAAGCCTAGCCAGTGAGAACATGTATCATTTACTGTTCCTGTCAAAAATGGTTGTCTTATGTCATACCATAGATCATTTTACAAGGAAAAGCTCTCATTTTTCCTGTTCCACGAGTACCAGAAACTCCTTTGCTTGTAAGTAGTGAGGACTTAGATACGTGATTTATAAGAATGGTGTTAGCTAGACCAATTGCATGGGAAAGTTGTCTAAAATAGACTGTGAAGCTGGAAGTCAAGAAGTTCAGTGAAATCCCCTAGATGGAAAGTAAGTAGCCATTGTCGGGACAGAAAGCTTGATAAATTGGGCCTTCGCTGAGAAGTCAGCCACTACCCAGTTCAAGCTCCTTCATCTTGGAGCGTATTTGTTGTTTCCTATCATTAGATGGACTGAGCTTTTTGAAAGAGAAAAATTATCATCAGGCAGGATGTCCTTTCCCCTGTACTTGAAAAAGAGCCGCAGATAGATTTGATTGAAGCTCTCTCCACCAGTTTGCCATCCCCTTTCTAGGCAGTGGTGGGAAGCCTCTTCAGCTTCCTGTTGATCAGGGCCATGCAACAGTATCTCTTGGACTTTCTGAGCTGCCTCCACCCTGGTTGTTCATTTACCAAATCTCGGAGGACTGTTTGACTTCTTGCCGATAGTTTAAAAGGTATTGTATATAAGGAGAAGTGGGCTAAAAGACAGCTGAGGCGGGGGTCAGAAGTTAATTTTTGTTATTTTTAGTATTCAAGAGGAACATCTCATCTTTCCATTAGCGTATATCTTAAAGAGACTTGACAAATGGTTTCGGCCCCTGTCAAGATTGGATTTCTGTCTTTTCATCAGCACCTTATCATATCAAGCTATTTTCTGTCTCGCGTCTGCCATGTGTTAGCTTTGGGGACGGCTCTTTACAAAGTGCCACTGTTTATCTACAATGAGTCAAATATTCAGTGTTGCATTCATGAAATAGAAATTATATTCCAGATAAGTATTGTATTGCATGTTGCTACTGAGTGTCTGCTTTTCGAATAAAGATTATTGGGATTATTTTGGTGTTATGTTGTTTATTATGATATTAGTCACTGAAAATGTTCCCTGTAAAGAAGAAAATAAATCCAATTAAGTTCTGGAGTCGAACAAACAAACTATGTGCAATATTTTACCAAAAAAGTCACCACCAGAATCCTATCATCATTTTTTTACATCTTCTTAATTTCTCTGTATATAGGACACTTGTTTTATTTGATCCTTCTGTGAATTGGTTACCTATTCTGCATTTTGTTTGTTCTGCAAACGTCTCTGTGCTGTAATTTTTTCATTTTTTTTATCTCTTATTTCATTATTGATGACCTATTAATATCTCAAATGTCTTTTTTCTATATCAGTGTCTTTCAATAGGAATTCGAGTTATGCATTTCAATATTCATTATTCTAATCATCTATTACCATCCAATAACATCGGACATCATGTCAATGTTACGACTTTTTGTGCGAATTTCTGCAGGTGACTCCTGATGTTCATTTTGAGAAGGACCTGAGCTTAGATAGCTTAGACAAAGTCGAAATTGTAATGGCTCTTGAGGAAGAATTTAAGCTGGAGATACCTGACAAGGAAGCTGATAAAATTGATTCCTGCCCTCTTGCAATAGAGTATATATATAATCATCCAATGGCTGGCTAATGTTGTCTTGAACTTTTTGTCTGAGTTTTGGTTTCTTTGATAATATGAGACTCCACTTATTGTCTCAGTTTTACTTGTCGGGATGTTTTAGAATTTTGATCCTGCGATGGGGAATAAATTTCCATGTTCGAAAATTTTAGTTCACGTGTGTGTTTGTGGTCACAAGTGCCATTTCCATCTGTATACCGATTTTGCCTCATATCTTCGAATTTCCATCTTTGGGGGAACGATTATGCTCGTGTTTAATAGAAGTAGCATGAATCGAAGTGGACATGAACTTGTATATGGTAAAGTATGTTGCCAGTGCTTAGTGCTGGAATGTGAAATTTTCAAATTCTGACTAATTTTCGAATGATCGTCGCATGATGTATTCTTCAAGTTTTTGGACGAGACTAATGGGATTTGATAGCCTTGCGTAAAGTTCTTTGTCCATATACAACACTTAGAATCACATCAATCGGAGGCATGTAGAAATAGTTTTTCGTAATTTTAGAATGCTATGCTATATTTACCTGAGAGCAGATTTTTGAATGTTCGGTTACCAAGTTGACTGCCTAAATGATCAAATTAAGGCTATGTTTGGTACACATTAATTTTTTCATTCTCATTCTTCTACTCATTTTCAGCCACACATTTTTCAATAAAATAATATTTTCCATCACATCAATAACTTTTTCTTCATTTTTAACTACACATTCTCCATCAATCTATTATTCAATAATACATTCTTTCAAAAGAATATGTCCCAAACACTCTAAATTGTGAATTTTTAATATGTTAAATATATAAGTTCTTGATCTTACTTGCAAAAATTTCATAGAAATTTGAGTTCTTTTGGTCAGTCGACTTAATGCAAAAATAGTATTCATACTTTACAAGTCTTAAATAAATTTAATGTATATTTATGAATTATTTTTTTATAATTCCACACACCAATATACATAAATACACACATCAAAAGGGGGAAATAGCAACCAAAATTGCCCCCTTATTTCTGAGCATGGAAAACAATTCAAAGTAGGTTTATAACTTTATTCATTAGCGAATTTAAGCCCCCGTTTGACACCCTTTTTTTTATCTCATTCTCATTCTCATTTTTCTACAGTACTCATTTCTAACCACACATTCTCCAAATAAAATAATATTACACATAAACCCAAAAATTCTTCTTACTTTTTAACCACACATTCTTTACATCAATCACTATTCAAAAACTCATTCTTCAAAAGAATGGGTGCCAAACAAGCCCTAAATTATATCCGTGTATTGCATGTCAAAAGTTAGAATCAAATAGTTAAGAAACTCTTTATCTTAGGTGCATGTATGGGTGATGACGGCTGTGAATGAGTAATGAATAAATACGACTATAACACGTGTTACAAAAAAACTTACTTCCATCATTTCGTCTCTCTTCTAAGACTAATAGTGATGTTGATAAAGGAGTTTACTTCTCCAACGAGGGAGAACCTATGGCTCTCATGATGTGTAGATGAGATTTTTCACATTGATGCATATCGTGTAAGTGTGTTAGTAATCTTATAGTCTATATCTTACGGCTTTGTCCTAAAGAAAAAGGGCAATCATTTGTGCTCGGAATTATTTGTGCATGTAACATTACACCAACATTTAACAATGATCTCTCGATACATGCTTAGACAAATGACTTTGCCTTATTTTAGATATCGTGCACTATTCGAAATGCTTTTTAAGATATTCCTCAACCTGTCGACTTTCATGAAATGTGAGAAGCAGATGACAAACTCATTTGTATGTATATGTATAATACATGATTTTTAGTCCTAATGACTATAATAAGCCCATGTTTGACACACATTTTTTCAAAATATATTATTTCAAAACTCATTTTTAACCACACATTTTTCAATAAAATAATATTTTTCATCACATCAATAACTTTTCTTACTTTTTAACCACATATTTTCCATCATATCACAATTTAAAATATATTATTTTCTCAATAATATCCATCAAACACACCCGATATTTTAAAATTTGGATAGAGGTCCCAAACTTTTACATTAATAAGAATGAAGTCCTATTTACTAATCCTAGAACTCTCTAGAACCCCGTTGAGTTAAATGAACCCACACGGGGCGCACCCTACGTATATTGACGAGCGTTCAGGAGACTCCAATTTTGTAAGAGAGTACAACACCCCATTGCACAAGTCTACTCTTCCATTCTTATCCATGGCGATGGCGTCCTCCTTCCTTGCACTCGCAAAACCTTTCAATTCTCACAGAGCCGACCTTCCATCTCTCTCCATTGGAAGACCCTCTGGTAATTTTTCTTGAAAAATCTTTCAGTTCTCATTTCTGTGGATGGATTTCTAAATTTTCAGATTTTAGTCTATGTTGTTTCACTGACTTTTTTCTTATGTTCTGACTGACAGGTCTTCAAAGAAGCTTCTTAAGAATCAATGCCATTGCAAAGAAATATGAACCCACCAAGGTTTTTTCTGAACACATTCCTTTGCATTGTGTTCGTGTATTGGAATTTTTCACATTTGAAAATAAACTGACGCTGGGTTTTTTTTTTTTTTGTATATAATATAGGTTGTCCCTCAGGCTGATAGAGTTTTGATTCGACTAGAGGAACTACCTGAGGTATTCCTGTTAAAGCCATGTGCTTATGGTTTGAAATTTTATAACTTGTGAAGTTGAGTATGGAGTATGATAGGACGAGATGATGTGCTTTTTGATTACTAATAACACAGTCCTCTAATGAAATTTTTGTATCAGTTACTTTCAAGAAACTATGCTATATTTTACTTTTATTTGTGTGAATGTGATGACAAATTTCAAACTTTCGGATGGTTAAAGATGTTTGGTTTGGATGATAATAGAATTATAGAACCTTATAAGGTATAACTGATGATCTAGTGCATGAGCTGATAGTGTTTAGGCTAAGAACTTCTGCACTGTATCTCGCTTGAAGGCGAGATCAATATTCAACTGACGTTGAAAATTGAGGCAAAATCATGATGCAATTGGAGTCGAGACAAAGTAAAACGAAAACATGGAGTAGAGATTTTTTTTAATTTGCTGAACATAATTTTTCATGATTGCAAAATGCTTTGAATTTAAATTTTAATTTGACCCTCATTATATGCTAAATCTTTCACTGATGCTAAATATTTTTCATTAGCTTCAACATGGGAATAATTATAGTTATACATAAAAAGAATATGTTTTATAAAAGTTTCTTTAGCATTTTGTGTCCTACTTTTTTGAGAAGGTCATGCATATTATGTCGCATTTTAAGTTCTTGTTTCCGTGGTACTTAGATCATCCTAACCGGGAAACATGTAAGATTATAAAATGTGACTTGATGTCTGCATTCTCCTGTTTTTATTGAGATCTTGATGAATAAATTGGGGTGGTGGGAAGTGTATTCTTAAACAAGAAGAATTTCATTGAGAAAAGCTGATGTGACAATTTTTAGTAAACATACGAAGGTTTACAGATTCCTGATCTGGAAATTGGGGATTACTTTCATTCTTCCATTCTGCGGGTAGGGTAACACGAAGTATGGTAAACTACTTTTATGTTGCTTGTGTTCTATTGTTCTATCAAATTTGTGTGTTGGAGCATCTGCAATTATTACGTAGAATGTGCAGAGACCAAAAATTGCCCGTGTTTGCATGCATTATTTTAGGCTCTCATGGTACCATCTGATAAATGGAATAATCTTAATGCAGAAATCAGCTGGTGGAGTTTTGCTACCTAAATCAGCAGTTAAATTTGAGCGTTACCTGATGGGAGAGGTGAGTAAACAAGGACAATGCTCCTGTTCACATTTACATTTGGCATATCCTCATTCAGACTATATCTTCTTTTTTCATGTTTTCTATATTAATTTGTTCTTTCTCAGGTACTTTCTATTGGTTCTGAGGTTGGGGAAATTGAGGCTGGAAAAAAGGTAGGATTTTCGGAAGTTCTCATATATAAGCATTTTTATAACTCAACTTATTCAATCACTTCAAGCTACCATGTTTATTTTTTATAAGAAGGGTCAATTAAAATGTTTTGTTCTCACCATTGTTGTTCTAAATACATGGAATCCATCTTTTGCAGGTTCTTTTTTCAGACGTAAATGCTTACGAGGTACGTTCAGATGACCTATTATATTTCTGAAATGTGAATGTGCTACTGATTTCGAGTGCATCAAATTTGTTGACTATCTGAATCCTCTCATTTGTATCTGGTGCATGCTATAGACTCCCAATGTTAAGGAGATTGTCTTGTATTGAAATATTGGAGGAAGGGGAAAGTGATGCAATACTAAACTTAAATATGCACGGGCTTTATGTTATTAGTTTACTTATTTAATTATAATACTTTATCTCATTAGAGTCTAAATGATGTTGTGTTATTGAGGGTCTAGTTTATGTTTTGTTAATGTTTGAGGGTCTAAGAGAGCGATTTCAAATAAATTAGCAATTAGGTTACTTTGCTCCTTACTAAATCAGCAGCCAGCAGTGACATTCTTTGGCTTTTGTTCTATGAAAAGATAATATATTGTGAGAATTTTCTCCAAATTTGATCCAAATGGTATTCGCATTCGAATCAACATTTTGTTGATCAAATGTTATTGTTCTATCTCGCTTCTGTTTGCGCTAGAAAGAGGGGGTTGTCATGGATTTTTGTTAGTGGGTACTATATGATTTGAGGATATTGTTTTATCGAGGGGTATCTGGGAAATAGTAAAAATTTGTCTATCTTGGGAAGAGGCGCCAATGCACAACTGACTTTTTGGTGGACGAAGCCCAAACCATGGTTCTGGTTTGGCACGACACGTACACATATTTCATCAAATATTAGTAATTCTTCAAGCACACTTGACATTCTAAGGTTTCTGATGTGAGTCGAGTCCTTCCTTCAAGAACCCTCTCTGCATTAAAACAGACTTCGACACTACTATTGGGATCGAAGATGCTCATAGATCACGTGCCATAGCAGAAAAGTATTGGGTATGCCCGTTCATGTGATTTCCACCCCAGTAAAATATCTAAAAGTTCTAATTCTTCTCGACAAGTTAATTATATCATTAACTTGCTGCTGATAAACGGCTATCTTGAATGCACGTGTCACAGCATTATTCGGGTTTATGTTATATGTCTAAAAAGCTTATGTGCGTCCTTTGTCAGGTCGATTTGGGAACTGAGGGACGACATTGTTTCTGCAAAGCAGGCGACTTGCTGGCGGTAGTTGAGTAAACATTGTTAGCAAATTGCAGCCTTGCAGGCGCGAAGATATCTTTGTTTCATGAACATTAACTTTTTATTCTGTGAAAGATTTTGCATTTTACCTCCTATTTGTTGAACATGATTTTGCACTCTGTAACAATTTAAGTTGAAACATGCATGGCTTTTGAGACCAAAAAGTTGCTTTTGGACCTATTTCGCTTTTATAAATGTGTTGCTTCTAATTAGAAGAGTTTTTATAGGAAGTTTGTTCAATGTAGCTTCTTTTAAAAGCACTTTCACAATAGGAAGCTCTTTTAAAAAAATTAAGTTAGCTTTCCTCAAAAACTCTTCTCCAGGAAGCAAATGTTTGGTTAGGCTACCCTAAATCGGACATGTTTAGGATGTACATCATGCCAATGTCATTTTTTGCTATTCTCATCGTATATTTTTTATTTTAATTTCACGTTTTTAAAAGATTTTATTGGTATAAAAGTTAAAAATGACTCTATCTAAATAGTTAAATAAGATTTAATAGATGTTGCTATGTATATTATGTAATTATGATTTTGAAACTTGTTATTCTGTTTCAAATTCCAAAAACATGTATAAAGTTTCTATAAATCTATTAAGTATGACTTATTTAGTTAAAAATTGAAACTATGAAAAATATTCTAATCTTGTATTTCGAAATTAATTCAAATATGTTTTTGATTTATCATATATTATTGAAAAGATATTTCAATCCAAATCGAGTCTATTTAACGTGCAAATGTATGAATGAACACATTGTTAAAATCGAAGCAAATCGAGTTTCAACGCAACGAACATTTTTTTCCCTACTAAGCGTCGAATCGACAAACTCGACTCATTTTTGCAAAAAGGGTGGGGGGAAAATCCTTTTTTGGTAAGAAAATGCCACCTACTTTTATACTCAAGATTTGGAGTTAAAATAATATTATTATGTGAATAAGAAATCTGTAATTAATTTAAATACACTTGCTTACATAATCGTGTTTAAGTTGTAATGTCTCTGCTGGCCACATGATATGATAACATGGCTATGACTCACTTCCATGTAATTAATTATAATTAATTTCTGACAAAAAGATAACTTAAGCTATTCTTTTAATTCATTTTAGAGAAGACTTTTTTTTTTTATTGAGGAAAAAAATATGTTTACATGGACCCTTGTGGTCACCATCATTATAAATAATAGATTTCTCCAAAAAAATAAAAAAAAAAAATATGATTTAGGGTATGTTTGGAAGAGTATAACAAATGGCGAGAAATAGTCGATGATCAAGTGTTCCGAAGAAAAAAAAAAGTCTTCGCATATTAAAAATGATAAAAAGTTACAATTTAAAGGCGTCACAATGGACGATCTTATGTGTTTGTGTTATTACATTACTACTCAAAGAAATTTTTACGAGTTGATATATCGCTTTCAGAGATAAATTTTTGTATATCGTGTGTAATATACGAAAATAAATTTTAAAAAATCTTTGTTAAGGGCCAATATAATTTGGAAAATAAACAAAAAAAAGGTATTTTCCACACTATTTTTTCATGTAAAAACTTTCTTTTTGACAAATGAAAATCATTTTCCATCCAAAATTGTACGGAAGCCAAACACGACATTAAGCAATTCGCTATTTAACCTTGACCGTTCATTCCTTTAATCTCGTCATCAAAAGTGACGTCTCCTACAATCTCGAATACGCTAGCCACGGGGCGTCTGGAAGTAATTATTTGCTGCTTCGCTGGTGCAATTAACGAGGGCCCACGTGTAACGGGCAGACAACTTTTTCGATAAGAGACAGTGGAATATTGGCTGCCCGAGGATCACGGGCAGAGTCTCGGGCAGAGGAGACAATGACCTAGAAAATAAAGCCTATAAGCGTTTGCTTTTATTTAAGAAAATATTACAGATGGGGTCCCCAAACTAATATATTGGTATTCGTAGTCCCCAAACTAGACTCCCAATCAATGATCTTCAATTATACAAAAATATGATTTTTTTATTTTTTTTATTTCTAATTTTTTGTCTCTTTTATTATTATTTTATTATTTTTTCTTTAGCTAAAGATAATAATAAAATCATCTTTCGTACGAAAAATTGATAATCGAAGAAAAGGTTAAAATTGTATTTCAAAGAATCAAGTGGTACTTAAATAAAAGGCTGGGAACTGTATCAGCCAAAATAACATGTTAAAGACCTACTTGCAACATTGTTCTAAGTTTGGGTGCTCAATTGTAATTTTCCTTCATTTAATGGGTGTGGGACCCAATTTGTGAGTATTATGAGTGTGGGTCCCGTGCCTACGCAGCTCCAAGGTGTGATGATGGAAAAAGACAAAGGAGTGGAAAATCATGGCGTTTGATTGACGGATGTGATGAGTGGTTTTGATTTTAAATGAGCACTTTGTTTTTTTTTTTTGCTATTCGATAAGCTTTTTGCAATTGTACCCACCAATTTTTTAAAATTGTTGATTCCGCCCCAATACTTTTTTGTCATCATGATTATAGTTGGACTCTTGTCACATTCTAATTCTTATTATTTAAAAGATGTCAAGTTTAAAAGCCCGAAGAAACGTATGTAATTGACAATTTAGTAAGAATTGAACTGAACCGAACCGAACCTACAGATACGATCAAAAAAATTGAGCGTGGATGAAAAACCAGTTTAGATCATATTTAAAAGGCTAAAACTTAAAACTCACTAAAATAACTCTAGAATTGATTGCTTCCCCACTAGATCTCATTGGTTCACTTTTGAAAATAAAGAAATTTAGTTTTCGTGTATTTATTTAATTCCTATAATTTCGTAGTCACACAAATATATAATTTAGCATAAAGTCGTTACATACGAGAAAGAAGAATAGTTAAATATATTTTCCCATGTTCTTTTAGTAATGTGAAAGGTTGCTATTTAAAGTACAACACTAGATTGCATTGTTTTGTTCAAGTGGACATAAATTAAACAAATCTAGAAATTATAAAAGAATTAAATAAGTCCATTCATGCACCTATTTGAGATTCTTTAAAACATGAGGGAGCAAAGTGCTTAAATTGCCTTTGTTATATGGAAACCTTTTTGGCCAACGTATGCGTGTACTCCTTGTTAGAATTTATTATTTTACTCAAGGTCCTTACTTTTTTGAAAATTTCGTTACATCTCCAATGATTCTTAGGAGTACAAATAGGGCTCGTAGTTAAAATTAATCGGGGACAAAGTAAAATACTCTTTATCGCAGTGAAAGGGAGAATGTCTAAGAGAACAATTATCTTCCATTTCCACCCCAAGTTTGTTGAAAACCTCGTCACTCTATTGACATCCTATGTTTAACATGACATTTGAATACAAAAGGCAATTCCGTAACTAAATGATTGTTTGACAGGGCTTCTGATAAAAAAATTAATAGATTTTGATAACATTTGAAAAATATGTGATTAAATAATTGATAAAAGTGTGGATTTCATAATTTTTTTTTGTTAAAATCAAAGTTTAACCAGTTGATAAAATTTAGCAAAGTTTCATCAAACAAGCACTAATTTTTTCACAAAAATCACTGACATGCCTTGAAAATCAATGAAAATTTGAAGTAAGATATATTTCGCGAATGTCATGAAATAATTATCAAAGATTTAAGTGGTTCTTAATGTTGAGAATTGAACTGAAATGTGCAACTACAAGTTGAAGACCATCTTGTTACTTTTTTTAAAATTAAAAACCAATTTACTACTCGAACAATAAGTTTGGGTATTAAAATTGCAATTTTTCCTAAATAATGCTAATAAAAAGTTAGTATTTGGTGGTCCATTTTTGTATATATAAATCCACCAGCCCTCTTCCTTCCTCCTTCCTCCTCCACTTCTCCCATTTGTGCATCAAAGCACCAACAGCCACCTTATCGCCGCCACAATCCGCCACCCTCTCCACCGTTCAACAATGAGTTCCGCCGCCTTATACTACACGGGATGTGAAGATGACCACTACCAACCCCATTTTCTTGATTCTTGCTTTCTTTGCCACAGAACACTGGGCCATAACAGTGACATTTTCATGTACAGGTTAGCCAAATTCTACCTCATTTACATTGATCTTACCCTTTGATTACTGATTTGACCTTTAAACGGATCAAATTGTTCATTTTATATTAATTATTGTTTTCATATTTGAACGACGAGTTCTGATGGATTTGTATTTGTTTTGCAGAGGGAACACACCTTTTTGCAGCCAAGAGTGCAGACAAGAACAAATTGAGATAGATGAGGCCAACGAGAGGAAATTGAAGCTCTCTTCATCTAAGAAATCAACTTCTGTAAGAAAAACTACGGATTCTGCTAAACAATCAGACACCAAGAAAGTTGCGAGGACAGGGACAGTTGCTGTTTCTTAATACAAAACATTAAATTCAAGAAAATTACTCCTAAAATCTTGATTTTCCAAGGCTCACGTCATGTAAAGAAATGATAGATACAACAAGGGAAGAATCCATCACAAAATTTTGATTATTTTCGTGTATTTTTTTTTCTTTCTTTCTTTTTCAGTTTCCATGTGGGCTTTCAGTGTTCGTGCATTGAGGGGCATAAATATTTTATTTATGAGCAAGAAATGTTTCTATCTAATAATGATAAACCTTAAAATTAAGGTTTTGATTAATCTAAGTTTTGAGTTTTTGAATAGGAATATGTTCTTGTTGTATTTTTTTCGTATTTAATTGTGATTGGGATTGAATTATTGAATATAGACAGCTGAGTGAGCAAGACAAACTTATTTTGCTGTTGCCAGCAGTTTTTCAGCCTGTGCTGGAATTTTCGAAGGGTATTATGATCTAAAAATATGAAAAAAAATAACTTTTTAATGAGGTGAGTGTTATTGGAATGTCGGGCTACCCTTTTCTAAACTTTACACGATATAATTTTTTTTCTTTACAATGGAACAGCAAAAGAAATTAATTGTCAAAATTCATTTTCTTACTCATGAATACATCAAATTTGGTGGCTCAAAAACAGTGTTTTAAAAAGCGTAAAGCGAGTTCAGACGTAAAAACAAAACTTCAAGCTTTACGAGTTTAAGCGAATTTAGTCGAGGCTTATGGTTAAAAAGGATTTCTTATTTATAATATTATTTTAAATTTTTTATCATTTAATAATTAAAATAATACATATCAAACATCTAAAATTATAAAATACTATATTTACTTAATAATCCATACCATTAATCAATTATACAATTTTCAAGTTTTCGAAATGCAAAAATTAGAATATTTTCGTAATTTCAATTTTCAACTGGACAAGTCATACTTAATATATTTATAGGAACTTCATACTCGCTTTTGGAGTTTGTAACAACACAACGAGTCTCAAGATCATAATTACATAATGTAAATAGCACAACTTAAATCTTATTTAATTATTTAGATAAAATCATTTTTAACTTTTGTACTGATAAAAAAAATTTTAAAATTTGAAATTAAAGTTAAATGAAATTTATTTTTCTAAAATAAATAAATTAGTAAGCTAAAGTCAAATAGAAGAGCTTTAAAAAAAGGGCCAAAAAAAACCTAATAAAGTGCATAGAGGTGACGAAAGAGGGCAAAGAAAAAACTCAACTGTTCAGGAATTGGGAAAAATAAAAAGTCTAGATGCAAAGTGAGACGTTTTGCCCAAACTTCGAGGATAGGCAGTGCCTAGACGACTTTTTAGAACACGGCTCAAAAGTAATATCTTCGTTAGACTGAGAATCTTGCTATGTTGACAAATGTTCTACATTTAATACTTCACTTAGCAACAAGTGACTTTCCAACACTAATATCAGCTTATATCAGACCACCTGCAGTCAAAAAATAATTCGCATTAGGTCTCATCGTTGCAATCCAAGAGAACAATATACATTCTTCTGTCCTCTACGTGCACGATAGGTATTTAGCATAAGAGTAATCGGGTTTTTTGATAATTTCTGAATCTAGAGATGTTTTTAATACTGTGAAGTGTAAATGATAAACGAGCATGTTCTAAACAAAATCTAAAGCAATTTCTATCAGTACATAAATGTTTTAATGGAGTTATGTACAAATGACATTTAAACACTAGTTGGGCAGGGTGTGTGACCGTGTGATGTATAGCAAGACGACGAAGCTTGAAACCTGTCGAGCAGCTAAAAATAGAGTTAAGCCTATTTGACCGATGCGGTGGTGGCAAAAGATGGTTGGATGCAAAGTTGATTGTTTTCAAATTGTCCAATGACAGAATGACATTCTGTCAAGGAAGACGGTAATTTTTTCTGACAATGTAGCATGATTGCTAAAAATATCCCTAGAATTAAGCTTCGTTTCACATAAAAGTCAAACCACATATAATGCAAGCAGAGCAGTAGAGAATTGATCAAAACCTCGGCAGGTGAATTTTAATAGAAAAATCAGAAAACCAAACTTTCTTTGATGCAATTATTATGTATCCATGATCATATTAAACAACTGTCGAAATTAAAAAAGGGAACCAGCTATCAGCGATCACTTATAAATACAAATAAAATGTTCGTGCATTTGAATAAAATTATTACCTAATGGAATCTGGTGCCATATCTTAGGCATGGCAGCATCTTTAAGCAGGAACCTGCAATTCACAAAAATCAATATTGAATAGATTTAGAAACATTATGATCGTATGCCTATCATCTTTTTACAGGAAATATATACTGGTGCATTTCGGCTGAACAATTTGTTCAGCCTCTAGAGTGGAACTCAAGTAAGAAACCATATAGTCGAACTACTTCATGTGCCGACTAATAGAAGCAACTCTATGTCCTGACTCGTTTAAATGACAAGATGAACTAGGATTGCTAGAATTTTAGAGTAGCGGAGTATAACTTGTAAATCCATTTTAATACCAATATATATTCCCAATGCAAAAACATTTCCGAATTTCCAATTCCTCCATAATTTGTTGAATTAAGCTACAAATATTAGGGAATAAAGGATTGTTCATGGATTAACGAAAATATGCGCAAGCCTCTATCCTTGCCATCTACATTGGCACGATGTCAATTCATTGTAATGATCATGAAGTTGTGGCCACTAATATGAAGTTGTAATCAAACACGAGTTAAACTATTTGAAGACATACTTGAATTTATAAGGTACACAATACTAGAACATTTGATTTCTCGCTACACTAAAATTCTGCAATTGTCATCAACGCATTCTGCAACTCTTCCAAAAGCGTTGAAAAGCACCACTTCCAGATTTTCTTTTCCATTTAAATTGACGGGACCTATAACATCCCCTTGAGTCATCACTAGGCTGCTTTACCTTGTCATATGAAGAGGTGAAAACAGCTTTGACTGCTTCAAAAACTTCTTCAACAGGTTTCCCAGCATCAATCTGAAGTTAAAAGAAACACAAGTTACCATTTACGCCAGCATTTTTTGGCCTCAAAGAGCACGTTCGGTTAGGATTGAAAGTTGAAGTTGGTACTAACTTTTTTTCCCAAACACGTTTGAGATTTTTCAAAAGTTAGTTATCTTTTTAGAAATACTATTATTACCTTTCGAACCTTCCCCTTGGAGTTGTAGTATTCAATCACTGGGAGACTAGACTCCATGAAAACCTTGAAGCGCTTCCTTATTGTTTCAATGTTATCGTCTTCTCTACCCTTCAAGCAGGAAAAGAAAGAAGCAGGTAAATAAACAAAGGAAATGTAAAAGACGAATAAAATGGTGGAAGAAACAGAAAGAACATGAAAATTTTGATTAGGAACACAAAGAATATGTAACCTGATTTCGACTCAAAAGGCGCCTCTCCATCTCTTCTTCTGAACAATCAAAGAAAAGCACAAACTCTGGCACAATTTCAGTCTGCAAAACACAGTCTTCAATAAAGCACGAAAAAAGATAGGAAAATACAAAAAATATTATGCCTTAGCAATCTCAAAGCAAATATAATATATGTAGAACTAGCAAAAGGAATAACGTATAGATTATTTTACTTATATATATATATATATATATATATA